ATGATGATGATGTGTTCCATGGCACGGCTGCATCTCCATCTCCATCTCCTCCAAGGCCGTCTCCCCCACCTCCGCCTCCCGCGCCGCAGAGCCAAAAGAGGCCCCCGCCCCCGGTGAAGTCCCCGGTGAAGAAGAAAGCCAGCCGTCGTAAAACAAAGCCCCCTCTAGAGAAGCTAACTTACGAGCAGTCTGAAGAGGAATCAAAAGCGGTGGCATAAAAAGATTTGATTAACTGGAAGCAAGGTTTAGCAGAATCAAGAGCGAGGAGGTTGGAACTTGAGAAAAAACCTGCCAAAGCCGCACTACATAGCTCAACAAGAACTAAGGAAAAATCAATAAGCGCGAGAAAAAGCAGTGTGAGGCACATAAGCCCTCACCATTATCTGACTATGAACGCTCTCTGGACAAGTCATATAAGGCGTCACTGAAAGCGAAGAGAGCAGGGAAAGATGTTGCATAGCTCGGGTAGCAATCTAAGCAATCTATCAACCCGCTAGTTGTTGAGGGTGATTTCACAAACGCACCGTGTGGTCCAATAGATAAGGAGGCACTGCAAGACTTCATGGCCACCACAGGTCTCACAGCTGAACAACTCATGGGGGGAGCATCGATACCAACTGACGACTATGATATTTACCGGACCTATGTGTATGGCCAAAGTCTTGTCAACCCTAAGTACTACTCATCACTAGGTACGCAGATGTTCTTGTTGAACAAGTGGTACTTAAAAGTGACCGAGAATGACGAAGCAACATGGCTTGTTGCCAGAGTGAGACCAGTGCATTACTTGGGCTATGACGTTGTACATATTGAGTTCAATGAAGTACACCAACTATTAAACTGGGACGCTCTCGACAAATCTCTCGTCAGCTGTTGGTGTCTGTAAGTGATTCTTTCTACAATTGAATTGAAGTAACTTGCATGTTAGTTCGTTGTTCATATATAGTTATCCTCACACTGTATATATTGTACTATATATATATGCAGATATGAGATGCTAAAACTAAAGAAAAAAGCGATGACTGAGGTTGGTTTCATTGATCCAAATCACGTATTTAAGGACAGGGTTACTCCATATGATAAATGGCGACCTCAAGTGGAGAAGCTTCTGTTCAGGTTCTTAGATAAGAACGCTTACAAGACACTGATACTCTTCCCATACAGCTTTAAGTGAGTGTGAATGTCTTGTGCCCATTTTATTTTGCTTACTCCATGTTGACTTTAGTTAATGAGTTATGCCTGCGTATAAACATGTAGCTTTCACTGGATACTGTTGGTCATCGATATGACCAAGAGTCATGTAAAAATCTTTGACTCAGCGACAAAACCCCGAGAAGATTACTTAGAAATCCTCGATATACTCCAGTGGTAATTTCGGTCTCGCACACACTGTATACTCTTTTATGCCATTTTAATGATATAATTCCATTTATTTATTTTGTTGAGCAGTGCTTGGAAAACGTTCGCCGAGAAACACCATTATGGTAATTGGAAAGTGCCTCTGCATATAGTCTAATACCTAGTAACTACTATCTAGGTCACCACATCTTTATTTAATTCAATTCATTATTAAAGTGGTGTCTGCAGCAGGGATCGGGGAACAACTTATATGGATACTACGTCTGTGAGTTCCTCATGGAGTACTCAAGGAGAACAAGTGAAGAGATCCTCGAAGTACGTAAAAAATATACACAATTTATTTATTACCATTGTGTTGATATATATAATCATATATATATTCATACTTTTGCTTTCATTCGAATTGAAGATTGAATGGAGGAAGCGAAAGGTCCTGCGATGTGACCAGATCAAAGCAATTCAAGAGGCATTGTCATTATTTCTTTTGGAGCAGGTCATAGATCCCAAGGGCGCATACTACTATGATCCTAAAGAATTTATACCTAGTAGCCAAACAACGGAGGAAGATTAGGGTTGCAAGAAATCCCAATAACATGAGTACATTTGTGACTTTATTATATATGTACATATTTCATGCATGCATATTTGTATACATATGGTTTCATATATTTTCATGTGTTATTTATGTATAATGCTCGAACGGAACCTTATACGTACGTATATAAGGACGTATATTAACAGCGTAGAATTCGTATACCAAAAGCTAATTGAAACAAAAAGAATTGAATTGAAAAAAACCATAAAATGAAAAGGAATGAAATGGAAAAAAATAAAGGAACCTTTAATACCGGTTGAAAACACCAACCGGGACTAAACGTGCTAGCTCCGGTGCAATATTTGGGGGGGCCATTTAGTCCCGGTTGATAATAGCAACCGGGACTAAAGGTCAACTTTCAGTCCCGGTTACTACACTATCGGAATCCTCAAATTTACCGAGTGTTTTTATGTTTGCCGAGTGTATTCCCTCGGGCACTCGGTGAACAAGTTCTTTGCCGAGTGCCGCGCTAAAAACACTCGGCAAAAAAAAACACTCGGCAAATAGGGCGTTTTGCCGAGTGTCAAAACAAAAACACTCGACAAAGAGGTTGTTTGCCGAGTGCTAAAAAAAATACACTCGGCAAAGAAATAAAATATTTTTCTGGAAAAGGAGAAGAAAAAAAATGAAAAAAAAAACTTTGCGGAGTGCTTAGATCTAAAACACTATGGCAAAAAAAAGTAGGAGAAGAAAAAAAAAGTTGAAAAAAACTTTGCCGAGTGCCCCATCTGGGACACTCGGCAAACCAAAAAAATACCTACTTAACCTAACCGCGTCCCCAGCACCCCACCCGCCCTCCCGTCCCCACCCCTTCTCTCTCCTCCTGGCCCCCAGCGCCCCCTCTCCTCCCTACGGCACCGCCTCCCTCCCCTCCTCTCCCGTCCGCCCTCTTCCACTCCGGCCGCCTCCGCTCCCGGCCCCCTCATCCGGCTCCCCCCTCCCCTACCTTCTTCCCTGACGCGGCCCCACCTTCCCCTTCTTCTTCCCCGCCGACGGCCGGCCCCTCCCCTCCGTCCCCTTCTTCTTCCCCGTCGGATCCGGCCCCTCCCCTCCCCTCCTCCCTTCTTCCGCGCCGGATTCGGGCCCTCCCCTCTTCCCCACCCCTCCCTTCTTCCCCGGCGCGGCCTCCCCACCGGCGACATCCGGCGGCCGGTGCCGCCCCCTCCCTCCCTCCCTCCCCCAATGGCAAGATCCAGGGAGGGGCCCCGGCGGCGCACCCTAGGCGGTGGTGGAGGGGTGGCCTGGCGTTGCGGGCACGGCACGGCGGCGTGGCGTGGCGTGGCACGGCAGCTGCCTCTCACCCTAGCGATGCTCGGATCCATGGCGTGGCGTGGCGCGGCCTCTCTCCCTCGCCGGTGCTCAGATCCACAGTGGCAGCGGGCGGAGGCGGTGGCCGACAAGCACGGGTCTCGGCAAATTGTCTCGCGACGCGGATCGAAGCGAGCCGGCCCCACCGGCGTCCCTCACCTGCTGGCGGCGGCAAGCGGCGGCGGGTGCGGAAGAGGGTGGCCAGATCCAGCTCCCTCCCTCATTCGCTCAGCACGGCGGCGTGGATCCAAGGCAGAGAAGGTGGTCGCGGATCCAGGGCAGGGAAGGCGGCCACACCGTCGCTCAGCACAGCGGCGCGGGCCCATACTCCCTCCCTCGCTCGGTGGCGGCGCGGATGGAGGCATGGATGGAGGCGGAGCAGGAGCCGGTGGTGGCGTCCGGTGGCTGATGCTTTTTTATTTTTTTCAAAAAATGTTTGCCGAGTGTTTTTGGGGCACTCGACAAAGTCTTCGCCGAGTGCCCGACAAAAAACACTCGGCAAAACAATGTTTGCGGGTAAACTATTTGCCGAGTGTCGTTTGCCGAGTTTTTTTGGCTTTGCCGAGTGCCCCTGGCAAAGCTCCTGTATCCGGTAGTGCTAGAACCGGGACTAGGGGGGGCTTTAGTTCCGGATTCGCAAACTTAACTGGGCAATCGGGACTAAAGGGGTTTCCAAATCAGGATTGCAACCCAGTCCTGCTCTAGTGTATGCAACAATAAATAAATACAAAGATATAGATAAGGCACTGCATTTTGGTTGAAATCTTTTTCTTCAGAAATCATTGACAGTTCTCCATTACACACAAAAGCTGTTGGGTCCCACACACAATCATGACTCGCTGGATCAACATGGCGCGGAAACACCGTGCCCCACGATTTCTAGTATGAGCACATCGGTGGTAAGGGGGAAAAAACTCTAACCAGTTAGCATGGGTGAATCTGGAAGTATTATAACTCCTTCGGCAAACTTAATATCTTATACAGAAGCATAGTTTGTATATGCATAACTTACACAGAAGCATGATTTCTTACATAGATGCATGCCTTGCGAAAGCACTACTACGGGCCTGTTTGGAACAAAGGAATGCAAAACAGAGAAAAGGGAAAAAACACAGGAATATGATAGAGTAAAAGGTGGAAAACTATAGTATTTCAAAACGCAGGAATATATACTTTGAGCCGTTTGGATTACATGAATAGGTTTAGATCATCACATGTCTCTAAGCAACGATTATAACCATTGATCCATCCTAACCTGGTTTATCAGCTTTTCAAGTCATTTAGGATATTATTTTTAATTCATCTATAAGCATAGTAATCTCTTTCCTTGACCGTTCTCTCTCCTATATGTTTCTACTTTTTTTTATCATCCCGAGCTCTGGCCGTGTGAACGCAAGCGCGAGTGACCGTGTTGAGCGACCGAGCGAGCGACCAAGCAAGCCATTAGATTTCCATTAAGTTTGAGTGGATGGTTTTTTTCCTACGTTTTGTACAGCATAGGAATCCTTTCCTTTGGAATGAGATGTATCTTTCCTCCATTTCAAACAGCAATCTTCAAAAACTTTCCATAGGAATGCATTCCTTTGAAAATCCTTTGTGATTCTTCCCATCCAAACAGGGCCTACATATGCATTATTGGGCAAAAGGAACCCAGTCTAACATACGCATTCCTTAGCAGAGGGACAACTACTTGGTAAAGGAGCACACAAGGATAGCCACCGTACAGCTAAATAGGTATTCAGGGGAGGTATGGGATCCAGCGGCGCTTGATGAACTCATCATTTGGGACTAACAGCTCACGTCCCTCAGGTAGATCTGCAACAAACAATCTGCCATAAACAACTTCATACTCAGTAGAGATTTCCTTCTTATCTGCGACGCGTGTCCCCTTCTCCAAAGGAAAGTACACAAAAAGTTTTCCATTAACCACAGCAAAATCAGCAAAGACTTGCTTCAGAAATTTGCCATCACCTTTCCAAAGAAGACATGAATTTGGAAACTTCCGTGCAAGCATACGACCATGCGGATCACGATTGGCACACATCTCCGCTAGCTTTCCATCAGAGAACTTGATTAGTCCCACCTTGCATGACTGATTAGCCTTGTTCATACTGTGAATACACAGCACCCTGTTCTTGAACTTGTTGAACCGGCGAGCCATCTCATCAGGCTCACGCTTCTGGTTAAAAGCCTTACACCAGCGCTCATACAGGTCCCGCAGGGCTTCATCTGACTCAACGTCCTCCTCCTTTGGCACAAACTCCACCCTATCACCTGGCTTGGACAAATCTATATAAACAAAAAAAAAAAGGTGAGGGGGGAGTATTGTGTCAAATGCTATTTAATTCGCAGGTAGAACACCAAAAACAGTCCTAATATGTTTTTTTAAAGAACAGGACTACAGGAGAAATATATATATATTAAAAGCAACAAAGAGAGCACAGGAAGCATACAAGAGAGCAAGTTCAAGAGACAAAAAAAAAAAGAAGGAAACAGTCCTAATATGTTTTATGTTGTCCTCCCTAGCTTGCAGAGATTCAGTCAGCTCTTGGGCCTGTCGAATCCCAAGAAGAAACGCTTCCCTAGCTTTGAATTGGAGGAATTCCTTTATCATGTAATTGTTCCTACCATCTCAACAGCTGTAAACAATTTGTTTTGGATTTGGGGCTTGCCCCCTTCCACCAACCGGTTCACCGGCATCTGTGGAATGAAATGCAGGTGAGGATCGCTTTGATCCTCCCCGAAGTTACCTCAAAAAAAATGTTGTCCTCCGAATTTATCATGAATGAACAAAGGTGTTTAATAAAATGAAACAGTGTATTCTCACATGTAGAAAATGTTAGATCGTCTGGAATTGCTGAACGACGGTAAAAATACTAAAAAACTATAGTCAGTTTCTTCGGTTCGGGAGAGATGGGCAATTCGCCACCAGAAGAGAGATGCCAAATTCCGTACGCTGGTATAGCCGCCATCTGAAGAGGGAGAGATATCGGATTTACCTTTTGATGATGGAGCGGCGGAGGCAACCCAGCTGCCGGTTCGGGGGCTAGGTGCGTCCATGGCGATGGCGGGGGGAGGTGCAGCCGTGCCGTGGGTAGGTCCGGCGGCGGCGGAACGACCTCCACTTAAGCGAGGACCATCAGATGCGGCCGCCACCGCCACCGCCTCCGGACCCGGAGAGAGCGCCCTCCGCTCAGCCAAGCTGGCGACGCGATACGTGGCCGCCGCAGCTGAGCGGGCGGCTCGGGCGAACAGCAGGAGGGCTTTCGATGCCATGGCCAACGATGAGAGGATAGATCTGGATGGATGGTTGCTAACACCAACAGCAACATCAATAGAAGAGGGCCGCGGCAGGAGTAGCGGGCCCATTTCTTGGAAAGAGGCCGTAACGATTAGGCCAGGAAATTTGGGAATTTGCAGCTCAGAGCTCAACGACGCGGCCCGCTTTCCTGTTCTCTACTTCTCTCGAAAAGGAACAATAGAGGAACGAATTATAATAGATGAATCGTATCTTCAAATTTAAAAAATTGCGATGGCGTGAATCAAAAACCCCCGAAGATTAATTAATTTGGTGAACAATTCTGACAAGGCAACTGCCCCTTGGCCCTGGGCTTGTATAAATACTTTATTTACATTGTTCATTGAGAACATCGGTCATTTTCCATCCATCGCTTTCACTTTCCAACAGGGCCTGCTATGCCGAGCCGGGCTGCCCCATGCGCCTGCTGGGCTTGCTTATGCTGTTTGTCTGGGCCGAAATTTGCCTCTCTGTTTCCTGAAGAAAATAGTTATCTTTGTTATTTTCGTTTTTAGCAATAGTACAGTTAATTAGCCTCTATTTAAGAACTACACATAAACTTCTAGAGCTGTTATCGGCCTCTACGGTGATCGACAAGACTCATTACAGTGCAAGGCATTCAGGGTAACTAGTAGCAAGACTAGTGCACTGGTGATTTGTGCGCGCCCATGCGTGCGAGTAGTTACCGTGGGTTATTCCGCGCACCAGAAATGGCTGAGAATAACTTTGTAAAATAGGCGATACCCAATAAGAGTCGGAACAAATATAAGACACTGTAGACCTACGCACTATCCAAACACCACATCAATGAACTCCAGGATGCGATCATAGGGATTCAGAGCACACACAATCATAGTCATGATAATTATACACAAAAGAGTCTTGGGGTAGATTGCCAAGAAGGCATGGCTCCCATCATCCTCGGCATATAACGCATTGATCATCGGGGACATATAACAGGACCCTCTAGCATCTCAAAATTAATAACGACGATGCGTTGCGGACACATAATTCGATAGACACCAACCAAGTTGCACAGTATACTTTAGGAGAGGATCATAGTATGCACATACATCCTACAGAGTATTAATCCTAGGCCCATGGTTGGACGGCAACCAGATGTAGTTGTTTGGATGATACACCACACGCAAAATCAGTCTTAGCAACAACCAAACACATCTGTTTGGACGGCACAGCACAGTTCAGTCAAAATCACCGAAGTAACAGCTACATTTTCTAAGTAAAGCAGCAGTCATTGCTGAGCCTGAGTGACACATGGAGCACGACTCTAGGAAGGCACGTTGAGGAGGAACCTGTTTATACCATCAGTCATCAGAACAGCGTGTGTGTAAGGCAGCATGATAAAGGTACACGATATCTTATATAAGAGAATTTGCTGAAATGATGTGGATAGGAAGATTTACCAGGACCTGTCCAGATGCAATAGAGGACTCGAGAAGCTCTTTTCTAACTGTGACAGTAGCAACAGCAGGTCAGCTAATTTAGCAGGAAAAATGCGCACACAAATGCTTAAAGTACCAAGGGAATAATTATAGCCCTGTCACGGGCCAGTAATTAGGAGAGACACCCATCGAAACCAGAATGAGAGCGATAATGAAGATAGTCTAGAAGCAAAAGTGCACACACTAATATGAGGATCGTGATCAATGTACCCAAAAGAAAATTGGAGAGAAAATACAGGGACACAACATAGCTACCAGCACATCATAGGACACCAAAGCCTAAGTGTAAAGGAAAGTGCATAGAAATAACTACTGTGATATGGGATAGAAAAGAGAACGAACCTGTTCACCAAGGGCACTGCAGACGATTTTGCATACCTTGCCTCCAATCTGATAGAATTGTACATTTCCTGGTAGGCCAGGTGCAGCCGGTGGTTCCACGACGAGGGAGAGAGCAGGCCGCCGCTTCGTCCGTCGTGACGAGGGTAGGGACTGTTCCACCTTTTTTTTGTTTCGGCAAAAGAAGGTGCAAGGCAACCAGAAATCTGAACCCTAATAAATCACATTGCTTTTTGTTATGCTCCTATAAATCCTTACACACTGCTACTAAAACATACATGGGTCCATGCATATATACTACTAAAACTTTAAACCAAGAACTGGTGTTTCCATTTGATTTTGTCTTGCTTGTAGCCTTCCTTACACCGAGAGTTCGGGCGCCCTGTTGCATTTCGACAAATTTATAAGTAGTACTAAAATATTTAGCAGAATTTATAACAATAATTTTCTTGTTTCAGAAAAGATTTTTGCACAATAAAAAATACATCAAAGCACAAACGTCATCAGACATCTTTGAAGAAATGCATCAGGCATCACTTTAAAGGGCCATTGTACAAGTCTCGTATTAGTTTTGGGGTGACATTTGGGAAAAAAACATATATAAAAGAACTTACTGAACTTGGTCCAATATAGAAAAAGACTCGTTGAATCTGTGATTGAAGTGCACTTAACATCTTATGTTCCTAAACCTCTCAAGGACAGCTGGGCTGGAGATGTTGGTGGCGATGACGATGGTGGGACCGATGAGCAGGGATCCACATTTACCATGAACTGCATCTTTTGCACACCTGTTGAAAGAGTTGCACCAAATCAGTAGCAATCTTAATCTACTATGAAGGAAAGCAGCTGCAGCAAGCACATGAGTCTTGGATAGGATCACAAATTCACAAATCAAGAGCAGGACTGGCGAAGAAAAATTTAATTTTGTAGCCAACCGTGAAAAGAAACTTCTTATAGCAGTCTAATAAATAAGCATTTCTGCAAGCTAGTCCAAAATCAACACGCCTCCTACACCCTGAACACAACCCCAAGATCGACTCCATTGGACAGACATGTGAGCCCACGGTCCCATTCAGTCAGGCGGTACAGTATAGTAAGCGTGTTCAATTAATTTACATGTAAACCCGTGATGTAAAATTTATTTAAAGATGAAAAGAAAGCTCAAGAACCTTGTCATTTTACATGTAATTCCATCAGGGGCTTACAAATTGTCTGTGCGGCTTGCCATGACTCTTATCCACATGAACTATTTTTCACCATAACAGACATGTGTATGTAAGCTAGCCTTCCCATGATTTTTACTAAATAAATTAATTCAGTTTTTCACCTCAACATACATGGGCATGTAGAGCCCCCAAAGCAAACGGTGGCACCAAAGTCTAAAAACAGGCAAAGGACTGACACAGATCTAGCCAATCCTATTTCATACCAACATCTAAAAATAGGCATAGCAAACTATTTAGATAGATCCCGCACATGTCAGTACAATGCAACCTTGGCCATCGCAGCCCATAGGGTCCTATGTAGTCATATTCAAATATTACATGTTATAATCAGAATTTTGTTAATACCAAACGTTTTAGTCAAGCTTGGAGTATTAATCCAAATGAGCATTAGAAGTGCTACAGCAGGTTCATGAATCTAAAAAGGAAAGAAGCAGCAATGTACACATTTTGCAGCTATGAAGTTACAACAAACATTTACCAGCTCATTAAGCATAGTAGAGTCACGATGCTAAACGTCAAATGCTGAGCAGCAGCTGATCTGATCACACAGACAATATAATGGTACATACAAACGCAGGGAGTCATGATGCTACGTTGTCATGCTCTCTTGTGTCTTTGTTGAATCAACAGACATATCTGTATCAACGCCATCACACCATAGGACCATGTTGGACCATGCATCTAGAAAAACAGTAAATAATAAACAGGCATAAAAATAAGAAATCAAAGTTATGCTTTGAAGACCGTGTCACTGTCCAAAACGACTTCTTTTAGCAACCTGAGGGAAAAACTATGGGCATTGATGCTGCAGCCAAGGCAATCGCAATAATTACAATGCTTGACATGGAAAATGAGAATGGCTGGTAGATGGAAAAGTAGTGGGCATTGGTGCTGCAGCCAAGGCAATCGCAATAATTACAATGCTTGACATGGAAAATGAGAATGGCTAGTAGATGGAAAAGTAGAACACATTTTTTTTTCAGAGCAACAGTGAAGAAGAAAATAAATTGGATGCCAGAGGATAAGATAAGTATAACACTATGCAAGCACACTTCTAGTCCTGCTCTTTCCGTTGAAGCTCAGTACAATGAACTCAAGCTTAGCCTGAACCATTTTCACATGCACATTATTATGAGTTTTTTTTTATCCCATATAATATGATGATTCTTTGTGCCATATAATATGGTGATTCTCAGGCAGACAGAACACATTGATTCAACAGGTATCAAAAGAGACCTTGTTCTGAGACACAAAGTAATACCTGTAGAAGCGTAAAGAAGAAGAAACTTTAGTTGGCGAGTCTTGTCGACTTGCATCTTGGACTCCATGACTGCCTCTGTGTCTGTGATGGGACGTTCTGAATCCTGATGATGATTAGAGGGAAATTAACAGCCACCAATTGGCACCCAAGAGAGGAGAACGAAGCGGGCAACGGGAGCGGATCTAAGCAGCAGAAATGGGGAAGGGAAGCTTACCGGCACCACTCGCAAAGGCCATGCCGTCTTGAGAAGAGGTGGGCAACCGTAGTGTGTTGGCAGGGTCCAAGCGGGAACCTCGTCCATGGATGCGTTGAGGAAGGCGGACATCCCTCCTCCACGGATCGACCAACAAGGGCAGAGTCGGGGCCGATCCGGAGTTAGACGACGGCTCTCAATACTTACTGAATTTTGAAAATAAAAAAGAACCTCTCGTGGAAGAAAATGCTGACGAGGTATATTTATTAATAATCTTGTATCTTATATATATATATATATATGAAATTAAGTATAATTCTATTAATCCGTATATATATGCATGTATTACTGAATCTTTGTGTTTCTTTGTATGTAGCCCTCTAGATCGACGACGTCGACAAAAAGTGTACGAGTCTCGACAAAACCGTTGGAGGGCCACTACATAATCACACAAGTCGACCCTAATACCGGCGAACCGCTCCTACCAAAAAACAAT